TTATAAGACTCTTCGATCAGAGGTGCCTTCCTTGTACCAGAGGAAAGGAGCCTCTTATCTCCAAGGCAGAGGAGATGCTGAGAAGATTCTGAGAAACAGGCCCAGCTGTCTCCCCCAGGTCACCACACTGACTTTTTACCATTGTTCTGTCATATTCCTCCATGACCATTCACTCTTCATCTCCAGCATAAAAACACTCAAGTTAGCGGTTCCTTTGGGTTTTCATTTCTTTATGAAGACTCCAATGTCATGTAAAACTTCCATTAAGTAGCTCTGGCCAGGTAGCTCAGTTGGTTAGAGTGTCATCCCAATATACCAAGATTGTAGGTTCTGTCCCCACCGAGGATACTCGGGATGAAAAGGGGCCACATGCTAACCTGAGCTCAGGGAAGGCGTGCATGGCGACCTTGCAAACTCAGAGGCCTGAAGTAAACACAAAGAATGATCTAAAATTAAAACTTTTTAAACTAAAAGCAGTTTATGGTGGGTAGTCATGTCCTCCCTGTTAATCAGTGTCTTCCCTGACGAAGGTCCATCTTTATCTTAACTAAGCCTGTCTATTGTCATTTGCTTCTAGGATAACATTTCTTTGGAAAGTCTGGGTAACTCCCCTTTTTCCAGACCTCACAAGGCACAAGATGTGCTGGGCTGCATATCTGGTGCTTTGGCCAGACGGGTCATGCTGTGCTGTCTGTTCCTAAAACACATAGATAGGAAGGTACTGACATCAGGCCAGGCCTTGAGATATGGTCTCATGGCCCCTTCCCAGCACGCAGGCCTTCTTTCTCTGAAGGCCCGGAAGTCTCATTCCAAATTTGGGAGACAAAGGACTAAAAAAAAGGATAAATAAAGAGAGTTTCCTCCATATTGGGGGGGCCCAGAATTTGAAAGACACATTTTTCACTGGGCGTCCACAGAATTTAATAATAAAATGTAACTCTTGCAGTCAGCGCTGCAGTTCAGCCTCTGCTTTGGCAGGGTGCTGTAACTATAGTCACTGGCCAGTTCAATAAATCCTCACTTGCTGTTTAAGACCTAGTTGGAGTCGGTGGTCTTATTCTCTCAAATGTTGGTCCACAACACAACCAGTGCACCAGGACAGAGACCATAAATCCTCTCATTGTTTTATGTTAATTTTTTTTTTACATTTATCTTTATTGTTGAAAGTATTATAGATATTCCCTCTTTTCTCCCCATTGACCCCACCCCCACCCCACGCCACATGTAAGGTTAATCATTAACTGTTTATCCTGTACCCACTAATATAAAAGATGTGTGCATATCATTTTACCTTTCATCCAATCCCAGAGGTTCCCCCACCCCGTCCTTTGCTTTCTCCCATCTTCCTAATCTATCACCAAACACATACAAGAACCAACCATTGAATGCATAAATAAGTAGAACAACAAATCAATGTTTCTCTCCTCTTCTCTCTCTCTTTCAAATCAATAATTAAATTTTTAAAGAAAAACTTTCAGCCCTAGCTAGTTTGGCTCTGTGGATAGAGCATCAGCCTGCGGACTGGAGGGTCCCAGGTTTGATTCCGGTCAAGGGCACATGACTGGGTTGTGGGCTTGATCCCCAGTAGGGGTGTGCAGGAGGCAACCAATCAATGATTCTCTCTCATCATTGATGATTCTATCTCTCTACCTCCCCCTTCCTCTCTGAAATCAACAAAAATATATTTTAAAAAAAGAAAGAAAAACTTACCTTAAATAAAATGTATACTTTTCTCCTGTTATTCTGTCTTTATCAGTTTAATTTTCAAACCAAGCCAGGGACCCTGTGAGGGTCAAAGACAAGTTTTTTTCCTTCCCTGTGCTTCCAGGGGATAGCTACGTTAGGTTTTCCCCTTGTAGCTAACTTTAGTGAAATGAAATTAATGGCAATCTATTGTTCCCCAAATTGAAGGAAAGGTGAGACCCAGGCTTGGGAAGGATAAAGACTGAGAAGACTTGAGAGACCTGGAGCAGGAAGAGATGGGTGTCTCCCCATGGGGAACTGGGAAATTTTCAACCCCTTTATAACTCTGCTGAAGCTCCAATTCTGGGGAGAGTGGGTTTGTGTGGTCTCTAAAAGCCACAAACCTCAGCTCTACCTGTACCCTGAAATCTAGAGGGAAGTTTTTAAAAACATGTTGATTTCCTAGCCCTACCCCGGAGATTCTAATGGGTAGTAATTGGTTGGACTCCCTCTGGGCCTTGGTCTTTTCCAGAGCACCTTGGGGAGAGGAGTGCTCCCTGGGGTGGGGCTGAGAGCCTGCACCCACCTGTAGGCGCTTTGAGGCAGGTGCCCTGCAAGTTGTTCTCGGCTAGTGTGGGGGAAACATAACTGCAAATAAAATCCTCTTTCACCCCAGAACATCCCTCAACAGAGTGTGGATGAAAAGGGGCCACACACTAACCTGACAAGCTCAGGATAGGCCTGAGGGCAGCCTTATAAACTCAGACACCTAAAGTAACTACAAAGTATGGCCTAAAATTAACTTTTTAACTAAAAGCAGTTTGTGGCAGGTGGTCATGTCCTAGGCTAGAATCTTCCCTAAAAAAAAAAGTAAACTTGAATTCCAGACAAGATGACAGCATAGGTAAGCACAGTACTCGCCACCTCCCACAGTGACACCAGAATTTACAACTAAAATACAGAACAACCATGACTCAGAACCACCTGAAATCTAGCTGAACAGAAGTCCTACAACTAGGGCAGTGGTTCTCAACCTTGGCTGCACATTAGAATCACCTGGGAATCTTTTTAAAATCCTGATTTCTGGGCCTCATCCTCCGGAAATTCTGTTTCTTTGTTATGGGGTGGGTTGGGGTGGGACCACAGCATTAGTAACAAAGAAAGAATTTCCGGAGGATGAGGCCCAGAAATCAGGATTTTAAAAAGATTCCCAGGTGATTCTAATGTGCAGCCAAGGTTGAGAACCACTGAACTAGGGAATTAAATTAGAAGCACATGGAGACTGGTAGGAGGGGGCAGAGATCCAGGTGGAATCATGGAACCAGCTGGTCCAACACCCACGTGAGGCAGTTTAAAATGGGAAGAAATACTTGGCTATGGAGGTTTCCCAGAGGAGATGGGGTCCCTGCCCCACACCAGGACCCCAGCCAGGGTTCCAGTGCTGTGAAGAGAAGTCCCCATAACTTCCAGCTGTAAAAACCAGTGGTGAATGTTGCTGAGTGACACCTATGCTTCTGGAGTTCCAGGCAATTCCTCTTTTAAAAAAATATTTTTATTGATTTCAGAGAGGAAGGGAGAGGGAGAGAGATAGAAACACCAATGATAAGAGAGAATCACTAATCAGTTGCCTCCTGCACGCCCTCTACCAGGGATGAGCCTACAACCTGGGTAGGTGCCTTGACTGGGAATCAAACTGTGACCTCCTGGTTCACAGGTCGATGCTCAACCACTGAGCCACAACGGCCTGGCCAGGCAGTTCTTCTTAAAGGGCCTGCACATGGACTTACTTGGATTCACTCCTTCTGAGCTCCAGCACTGGGGCAGCAGTTTGAAAGGAACCTGGGACATTTGGGGACGAACTAACTTGTCTGGAATCAGGGCAAGAGCTGGAGGGCAGCCTGCTCCCAGACAGAAGTGCTGGCAGAAGCCAGCATTCCTTTGCTGAGCCATCCCTGTCACAGGGCTGACAGGCTGGGCCATATCTGCATCTCCATCAACCTGGCTCACACCTTTTGCTCTGCCCTGGTGATTCCCTGAGACCCTGCCCCTCCCTTCTTGCAGTCTCATCCAAGCCATTTCCAGTGGCTTTTCCATACAACTGGCCTATCTTGCCTCATTCTTTGGACTTTGCTAAAATAAAACAAGCAGCAGCTGTGCCCCATACCTCTCAATAAGTGGCCCTAGGCCTGGCACTAGCAGCAGCCCACCCTGGTTCAGAGCTTGGCCTCTCCTGGGCACCTTCAAGCGCAACACAAGTAGCAGCCATCTGCAGATTGCTCTGTAGCTCATGCTGTATGGCCCCAGGCAGGGGAAAGGCAGAGGCTGACTTTCCACCTCTTGGGAGGCCCCAGAGACAGTGTACCCAGTGTTCAACTTGGACCACACTGGATTACAACCCTACCATCTCCACAAGTGACACACTCAGGGGGCAGACTCAGTGAGCACCAAAGCCCCACTGAAGCAAGTCCTGCTTCATAGGGTTGGCTCAGAGACCTATGGAGTGGGTCTTCAGCTATAATTGCAGCCGATTCTTGCAACAGATTGGCCTGGGGGTCAATCCCTCCTAGTGACTCCAACATAAATCAAGGCTCAACTACAATAAG